GAAAAGGGGGGGGGGGGGGGGGGGGGGTTGATGAAGAACCAACCACCCTCTACCCTGGTAGTGACGGGAATTTCCTCGCCTTTTCTCTCTCTCTCTGCCGCCCCCCGCCCCGTATCGATTTATCGTCCCCCTCTAGCTGACCCCTCAAATTGTTTCATCATACCCCCCCCTCCCTCACTCTCGCTGACCCCACAAATCGATTCATCGCCCCCCCAACCCCCCTCTCGATGCAGGATGAGGATCCCGATAGCGTAGATGACGACGACGACACGGTGTTGGTGACGGGGGGGACGCACATGGGATGCTACGAAGATTACGACAGCGACCCCATCCTCGACTTCCTTTACGAGGACGAGGACACTTTGACACCGGCGGTAAGAAGAGAGAGGGAGAGAGAGAGAGAGAGAGAGAGAGAGAGAGAGATATGCTGGTTGAGCATGAGGTGACAAGCGCTCGAAGTCGTGTGGAGAATAGGGTGGCAATACATGTTTTTCATCTAATACGCTTGAGAGCGCTTGAAGTCGTGTGCGGAGAATTGCATGGTTTACATTGTAAGGCGGTCATCCAATACGCTAAGAGGATAAGGACTAGGACCTGTGCTGCAGCTTCCTCATTTTTTGAGGGCGTGATGCATCGGTACTCCTGCGATCGCGTCGAACGAACGACCTTTTTCTTCATTTTGTTCCCAAAGTAACACAGCTGCTGTGGTTCATACAGAACACCTCTTCCCCTACCCCCCGCTTTTCATAGTTGCATCGCTGTTGTTGTTTCAGCTTGTAACCCCTCCCCCCCCCTGTAAACCCGTGTGTCCTCGTGTGACCAGAGTTGCATCGAGAGCTGCCGGGAAGAGGGCGAGGAGCTAGCGGGAGTGCAGGGCGGATCCCAGTGAGTGGTGTTGCTGTTGCTGTCGGTGTTGCTACTGTCGTTGTTACTGCTGCTGGCCGCTGCCGGCTGCTGCTGCTGCTGCTGGCCGCTGCTGCTGCTGCTGACGTTTGGCTTGTGTAAAAACCGGCCAGTGATGTGATTTTCGGAGAAGCTGTGCGTGCTCTACTGCTCTTTGTGGGACGATGGGTGGTTTCATAGAAGGGCCTGTGGCTAACCCGAGCAAGTACGTTCTTGCCTCAAAATCATTTTTGGCTCTGCACCTCGAAACGAGTGGCATGGATCAGTGTAAAGAGCATGAGGGAAGGAAGGTGTACTACTTTCTTCCTCCCACTCTGGTCCTTGACCTGGATGTTTGGAATTCAGTACGTAAGCGAGGATTCGGGGTGTGGGAGGAGCCATTTCCTCTCCTCCATCCACTGATGTAGTCCCTCCCTGCTTCGATCTCGAATATGTCCTCCTCAACAGCTACGTGAAGCTTGGGATAAGAAACATGAACACACAGTTCTTGCATGAGTTCGCAACGTCGTGTTCTCAATGAAGCATTGTTGTGATTCACTCGCGTTGTGTTCCTCTTTCGTTTTACGCGTCCCCACGCCTTTTTGTCTTTTTCCGCAGGTGCTGGTGCGGCACGACCGACGACTACACGCGGTACGGGACCGGTACCTGCAACTTCTCTTGCAGCGGCGACAGCGAGCAGACATGCGGAGGCAGAGAGTCGGCCAACGTATGGACCGTCGACTAATGGCTTCACACGAGTGCGCCCTAGATGCTTGAAGTCCCCAGCGGCCCGTTCGTTGTGTCGGTCTAGTGCTCCGACGGTCATGGCCGGTTTTCACCGATCCAAACCGGTTGCTCTCCGGCTTCATGACCGTGGTAATACCTACACACCCCGCTGGGTAGGGTTAGGTACATCATCATTTTTTTTTTTCCCGGCACCCCGTGTGTCGGGTGCTTTTTGCGTTCGTTGTGCCCGCCCGATAAGAGCGCACGCTGCACGCAGCTCCAGGATTATTAGGCTTACATGGTCGTGATAGAAAAGACGACCCGCACCGGTACCTGGACCAGTTTGGGGACTGAGTGATTTCTCCTTACACGGGTTTCGGGTGCTTTTCAAAGGGGTCGAAGATGGCGCGGGCGGAGGGGGGGGGGTTAAGGTGGCACACGTTTTTTAAGGGGTGGGTATCCCCGGGACGCTTGGGGTGCCGGCGCAGTGAGGATGATGCCGGCATGCCAATGGTGCGGATCGATCACGGATGAGAGATTAGGCACGAACCTTGTGCGGGTACGGTGCGCGAAGCACGCAGTTTTTGTGTTTCTTGTGGCCCTGAACCGACCACCCTTTCTTGATGTCGCTTTCGATGAAGAACGTTTCTGGACAGGGATAGATTCGTTTGGTCTTTTGCTCACCCGTCGTTTCCGTTTTTAGATCGTGGAATTAGAGAGTTCCGGCAGCCCGTGCTGTTTGGGAATTCTTGCCGACACGAACGTAGCGTGCAGTGGTCATAGCTTGTGCTTCTCAGTGGATCCGTTTTGTTCTTGGAAGGGCTTTGTTGTTGTCGCCGTCCTCGTCAGCATCGCATCGAGCTCTCAGAGCCTGCCGATTTGTTGGTCATTCCCGTCGTGGCGCGTCGTCAAACCTGTGGGCTTGTCGTCAGCCGTGACGACATCTTGCGCGTGTTTTGGAGAGCGGTTGCAATATCTTGACAACAGCGTTGCAGGCTTCTCGACCTCTTGTAGAGTTTTTAAGCCTCGCCTCCGGATTTCAGTTGATGCAACAATCGCTCACTCCCGCACCCACCGGCCTCCGAGATTCATTCGGACGAAAGTACCACGGGAGCCACCAGAAAGCACACAACTTTCGATGTTTTGATGAATTTACGATGCGGCCACGACGTGTATCTGCTCAGGTTAGCTTGTCTTGCCGGAACAGTTTGCTTGGGGCCCTTTGTTTCAACCCCCCTCACAGAAGACGCCTTCTTGTTTCCGGCCCCCCTGGGGTAGCTAGCAGCAGTGATGGGGAGATGTTTGTGGGAGTTTTATTTTATGTTTTTTTCATGGCGCAAGTGAAGGGTTAGGAATTGCGTCTAGGAGATGTTTGGGGGCCGTAGAAGTGCGGTTGCTGTTTGCTGCTGCTGCTGCTTGTTTGCTGCTGCTGCTGCTGCCAGTGCTGTGCTGCTGCGGTTGGCACGCACGGAAGGACTGCGGGGCGGGGTGTGTGGATCATTCGTCATTTGCTGTGGAGGGAGGCCTCTGTTGCTGTCGATGCAGATACCGGTACTTTAGTTGTTTTTCGCGAAAGGAACACGGCTTGTTGTTGCGTTCAGATCGAGAGACTGTTCGAAAGGGAGCTAAGACTGGGCTTTCCGCAGCAAGCTGGTTTTCGTGGGCGGGTATGTCGAAAGGGAGCCACAAGCGGGAGAGAGAGAGAGAGAGAAAGGCAGGGGAGGGGGGGGAAGGCTAGAGAGGAAAGTGGGCGATGACGCGGGTACGCACACAAGCGCGATAGTCTCGTGCAGCTGCCCTGTCGGAGAAACGAACGCAAGGAAGGTCCCGGGAAGAGCACATGGCTGACACGCCTTCCCCGCTTTCGTTTGTGAATATCCCATGGGATAAGACCTCTCTGTTTAGCCCTCTGGGTTGCGGTGCTGCCTCCTGGATGTCTTGGAAGTCTGATTTTTACGGGGTGGGGAGAGAAACAAACGCCGTCCACATGCGCCGACTCCGGGGGGGGGGGGGGGGGGGGGGGGGGGGTTAAAAATGGCCCCCCCCACGGGGGAAAAAAACCCCCCTTTGGGTGGGGGGGAAAAAAATTTAAAAACCCAGGTTTGGGGGAAAAACCAATTCGGGGGGG